AACCACATAGACATTACAAGAAGCCATTGAATGTGTGAATGAAACCATATTCTTGTAATGCTATAACAAACAAGCCATCCATAACAAACAGCCACAAAAAGAAGCCCAACAGCCTTATGCCAACAGCACATGAGGGACAGAGCAACATACGTAAGAACACATCACCCATCAGCTCGATCAGAGAACCAAGGAACCCAAGAAAATGCTTCTACAGAAACCCAAACAAGCCAAATGTGTGAAAGAAACCATAATCCAGTAAATCCGTAACAAACAAGCCATCCAAAACACACAGCCACAAAAAGAAGCTCAGCTGCCAAAGACCAACAACACATGAAGGATAGAGCAATATATGTAAGAACCCACCACCCATCAGCTCGATCAATAAGACCATGGTACCCAAGAAAATAGGACAACTGAAACGCCAACAGGACCAACAAAGCAGAGTCCAAAAAAGGGGAAAACCACAGGGGAACCACAGAAAAACAACTAGGTGAGGCACTAGTTGGGAGTCTCCAATGCTGGATAGTGTGGAGATTTCTAGAGGAGGACTTGAAATTAAGGGAAGCCAATCTACTTCACACAGTCTGTAGAATTAAATGGGTAATAGAAAAAGAGTCCTTAAATTGGTTTCTAAATTTTCTATTATTCCTCTCCATCCACAAGTGGTAAATAGTGGNGGGGAACCACAGAAAAACAACTAGGTGAGGCAACTAGTTAGGAGTCTCCAATGCTGGATAGTGTGGAGATTTCTAGAGGAGGACTTGAAATTAAGGGAAGCCAATCTACTTCACACAGTCTGTAGAATTAAATGGGTAATAGAAAAAGAGTCCTTAAATTGGTTTCTAAATTTTCTATTATTCCTCTCCATCCACAAGTGGTAAATAGTGGCTGCAAGGCAGAGTCTGCATATCAGATACTTCATTGACTTACCCTTCCAATTAAGAGCAGCCCAAGCAACAAAGTCATTCCAAGGCATAGGCTGCCATAACTCCCCAACAAATGAGAGAGTAACAGACCAAACACTAGAGGAGTAAGGGCATGCAAAGAAAAGATGAGAATGAGATTCGGGAGAGGTCATGCATAAAATACATCCAACACCAAGGTGAGCAGCGAAGGATTGCATGCGGTTAAGAGTACTCAGCCTGTTCCTAACAGCAAGCCACAGGATGAAACTCATCTTAGGAATGGATCTATTTGACCAAACAAGCTNAGCAAGCCACGGGATGAAACTCATCTTAGGAATGGATCTATTTGACCAAACAAGCTTATACCAACAGACAGGGGAGTCCCTTGATCTGATATGATTCCAAGCGGAATAGGAGCTAAATCCCAGTCGACCACTAGGGATCCACTTGACAGAGTCCTCAAGGGCAGAATTAGGAAAATAGGAAGGNCGGAATATGAGCTAAATCCCAGTCGACCACTAGGGATCCACTTGACAGAGTCCTCAAGGGCAGAATTAGGAAAATAGGAAGGCATGGAAATGACCACATCGTGAGGAGGGATGGAGAAAAGTGGCCATTGCCATAGATCATTGTTGATAACACTACTGACAGGTTCCTCCAAATTGAATAGAGAGTTATCAATACCATTCATACCAACACATAAGTCTAGGGGACCCATTGGATGCCAATTATCATACCAAAGCTTAGTTGATTGACTATTCCCAATCTCATGCTTGATAAGCAGCCTGGTTGAAGACTGTAGTTTGAGCAGACACAGCCAGTTCCAAGAATAGGTCTGAGAAGCTTTAACTCTCCAGAAACTTCTGCCCCTTAAGTGATAAGTATGGACCCATAACACCCACAAATTTTGCTTATCCGTAAAAAGCAACCAAATGTACCTCATCATCATAGCAATGTTACAATCTTTGATCCTTTTGATACCCAGACCNCCGTAGTTTGAGCAGACACAACCAGTTCCAAGAATAGGTCTGAGAAGCTTTAACTCTCAAGAAACTTTTGCCCCTTAAGTGACAAGTATGGACCCATAACACCCACAAATTTTGCTTATCCGTAAAAAGCAACCAAATGTACCTCATCATCATAGCAATGTTACAATCTTTGATCCTTTTGATACCCAGACCACCCTCCTCCTTGGGTTTACAAACATCATCCCATGAGACTTTAGCACCAGTGCTCCTCATTTCAGTCCCTTTCCAGAGAAAATGCCTTATAAGTTGTTCAATTCTGTCAATGATCTGTGGAGGTAGGAATAAATGGGCAGACCAATAAGACTACATGCTGTGAATGACACTGTGGATCAAGGTCAGTCTGCCAGCAAAGGACAAAAATCTGTTAGTCCATGAGCTAATTCTCTTCTCGATTTTAATGTTGAGTTCATTACAATGGAGTGATTTCAAGCGAGTGGATATCAGTGGGATGCCCAAGTACTTAACAGGGAGTTGATCCAGAGGGAAGCCGAAAAGATGCACAATTTGGTCCTTAGTCTCATTATGGATAACACTCATAAAGAGACTACTTTTAGCCTGGTTGACTTGTAGCCCAGACATAGCTTGGAAGTGGTCCAATGAAGCCTTGAGCACATTGGTGGAAAGGAAGTCCCCATGGCAAAAGAGCAAGACATCATCTGTAAACATAAGATGGGTGAGCTTACCATTCTTGCATCTCCAGTGTACTTGAAGGAGTCGTTAGAGGAGACATGATGCTTAACAGTGAGAGAGAATACATCCATAGCAATAATAAAAAGGTAAGGGGATATATGATCTCATTGCCTTAAGCCTCTCATGCTAGGGAAGAACCCAACAAGCTCACCATTCNCCGTAAACATAAGATGGGTGAGCTTAACATTCTTGCATCTCCAGTGTACTTGAAGGAGTCGTTAGAGGAGACATGATGCTTAACAGTGAGAGAGAATACCTCCATAGCAATAATAAAAAGGTAAGGGGATATAGGATCTCATTGCCTTAAGCCTCTCATGCTAGGGAAGAACCCAACAAGCTCACCATTCACATTAACAGAAAACTTGGGAGTAGAGATGCACTGCCAAACCCAATCCCTAATTAGTAAAGGAAAACCCAAATTCTCAAGGGTATNTCACATTAACATAAAACTTGGGAGTAGAGATGCACTGCCAAACCCAATCCCTAATTAGTAAAGGAAAACCCAAATTCTCAAGGGTATCCATTAAGAAACCCCAATTGATAGTATCAAAGGATTTCCTCAAATTCACCTTGATAGCACACCTAGCAGCACCTTGATTCCTATGGTAGTTTCTGAACAATTCTTGAGAAATTAAAATATTGTCACCGATCCTTCTGCCAGGGATAAAGGCAGCTTGGCTATGGTCGATGATATTCGGAATAACTTCCTTGAGCCTAGAGGCAATGAGCTTGGAGATAGCCTTATAGATGGTGTTACAACAAGAGTTTGGTCTAAAGTCATTCATAGATGTGGGATTAGGGACCTTCGAGGCTAGGGTGATGATGGTAGCGTTGAGTTCCTTAAGAAGCAAGCCATGAACAAAGAACTCCTTNTCCGAAATAACTTCCTTAAGCCTAGAGGCAATAAGCTTGGAGATAGCCTTATAGATGGTGTTACAACAAAAGTTTGGTCTAAAGTCATTCATAGATGTGGGATTAGGGACCTTCGAGGCTAGGGTGATGATGGTAGCGTTGAGTTCCTTAAGAAGCAAGCCATGAACAAAGAACTCCTTAAAAACATCAGTGACCTCCTGTCTAATGATAGGTCAGGCCTTCTTAAAGAAATACGGGTTAAAACCGTTAGGTCCAAGAGCTTTATGGTCGCTCATAGAAAAGAAGGCCTGCTTGATTTCCTTGCTGGAGAACCCCCTAAGCATATACACAGATTGCTGGTTTGAAATTTTCCTTTGGANATAAGGCCTGATTGATTTCCTCGCTGGAGAACCCCCTAAGCATATACACAGATTGCTGGTTTGAAATTTTCCTTTGGATGATGGAGAGAAGATTTCTGCTTCCCTCACTGTCTAGCATGGAGTAACAAGGCTTTCCCAGGAGAAGCTTAAAGTAATCAATAGTCTCAGTCTTGACCTCCTCTTCACTGTTAGTGAGGGACCCATCCATTCTTTTGAGAGGGGTAATTTTCTTCCAATTTCTTCTATTAATCATAGATCTGAAGAAGAAGTTAGTGTTCTGGTCACCCTCCTTGAGCCACAGTATCCTAAATTTTTGCTTAAAGATCTGCTCCTCATCTTTGGCAACCTCCAGATAAGAAGCCAAGAGTTTCTTCTCCTCCTAAATCAGGTTATGATTAGAAGGGTTCCTATCAATATTAATCTGGCAATTCTCAAGAACAGCTTTAGCAGATTGTACAAGCTCAGTGTTGTGCCCTCTTTCCTTGCAAAAGTTCTTAAAAACACTTTTGAGCCTCTTTAGCTTGGACAAAAGTTTAAATTGGAGAGATCCTTGCACACCAGTCACCCAAGCTTGTGCCACAGTATCTAAGAAGTTCTACTTATCAGCAAGGTGACTGAAGAACTTGAATGGAGTCCTCTTCCGCCTGGCATTGCTACCCATCTTAACAACAGCCGGAGAATGATCAGAGACACCAGATGGGAGAAATTCAGCAGCAGCTTGGTGAAAAATTGTGTTCCAAGCATGATTAACGAGGACCCTATCTAGTTTCCTTTTAATAAACCTTGTTCCTTCTCTCTTGTTTCTCTAGGTAAAGTGGAACCCAGAATATCTCAGGTCCTCAAGTTCAGAGTCCTGTAAACAATCTTCAAACTCCAGCATTGCGTTAGACCATNAACAATCTTCAAACTCCAGCATTGCGTTAGACCATTTCCCTGCACAACCCACAGATTCGCTAGGGTTCCTTATAATGTTAAAATCTCCAAGGATGATCCATGGGTCATTGCTGAAGAGAGAAGAGTGCTATCTGAGGTCAGCCCATAGAGGCCTTCTGTCTACCATTTCATTCATGGCGTACACAAAAGAGACGAAAAAATAGGTGTTGCTCTCAAAATGCTGAACATGACAGTGTATGACTTGGTCAAATTCAACNGAAACCACCATGAAGCGCAAGAGAGACAAAGAAGAGGTAAGGAAGTGCGATCATCGTGATACAAAGGTCCGCCAGAAAAATAGAGAAGATAGCCCGGGGAAGGTGGTCCCGAACCGTCCAAGAAAATGCTTCTTCTGATACAACGACATTGCCTAGAAGGTCCACCACAGGAACCAGATAGCACCCAACCGCAACACAAGAACAACAACATGGAGTGACGTGAACAATGCCCAAAACAACAGAAACCACATCAGAGTAGAACAAACAAGAGCCTCAACAGTGTTGTGAACAGAGCACCAACCACACATCGAGCAAAAGACCACAGTCCTAGGATACCACAGATACAAAACTGAAAATGTAAAAATGAATGTAAGACATGTATGAATGAACCGCATAGACATTACAAGAAGCCATTGAATGTGAATGAAACCATATTCCTGTAATGTTATAACAAACAAGCCATCCATAACAAACAGCCACAAAAGAAGCCCAACAGCCTTATGCCAACAGCACATGTGGGACAGAGCAACATGCGTAAGAACACACCACCCATCAGCTCGATCAGAGAACCAAGGAACCCAAGAAAATGCTTCTACTGAAACCCAAACAAGCCAAATGTGTGAAAGAAACCATAATCCAGTAAAGCCATAACAAACAAGCCATCCAAAACACATAGCCACAAAAAGAAGCCCAGCTGCCAAAGACCAATAGCACATGAAGGACAGAGCAGTATATGTAAGAACCCACCACCCATCAGCATGATCAATAAGACCATGGTTCCCAAGAAAACAGGACAACTAAAACGCCAACAAGACCAGCAAAGCAGAGTCCAAAAAAGGGGAAAACCAAGGGAAGCAACAGGGAAACCACAAAGAAAAACAACTAGGTGAGGCAACTAGTTGGGAGACAGGCTTGCAACCAGATAGGCATTCACATCCATACACATATATCTAAATATTATAATACCATTGGGACTGGTGGTCTAGTGGTAAGACATGCCCAAAGAGGTCTGTAGCTATGACTAATCGAACATTTCACATCCGGGGAGGCCCTCATGGTCACACCTAGAGGGAGTTACTACCTATTGGTCACCCCTTCCCCTTCTTCCTCTTCCAAAAAAAAATATTATAATTGAAAATTTGAATTCTCAACTTATAAATACATAACAACGGTCAAAATTGATCTAATTTTTATCTACTTTGATTCAATGATATAAAATTTATCTCAAATTTTTTTTCCTACCCAAAAATATCAACTTCTCTACAAGACCCCATTACCAAACAACTCAATCAATACACTCCCTAATGTTAAGAAATCTTCATCAATCCACACCTAAGTCTCTCTTCATTTTAATTTTAAATTGCGTAATTAAAAAAATTAAATTATTATTTAAAATACAAATATTGCAAGATCAATTCAATTTTTGATATTGTATAGTATTTTTAGACACAGAGTTATTGCTACTTCATATATATGCGATATCTTGTATCATTTGCAAGTTATTTTAATATATATATGTTGAATCTAGAGTGATGATAATTATATTTGCCCACGTGATATGTCAATTTGAGGACTAAAAATGGATGTAAAATCAATTTACAATAGGGGTTGACACTATTAAACACATTAGGTTAGCGAAATATGGACTCGATATGAAATAAATGGCTTATGATTTACTAATTTCCAAAAATAGAAAATGATATGCCTCACAAACCCAAATAATAAATGGATTAGATTAGCACGGTCAAACATGCATAATTCTATCTTTGTTGGACAAAAAATTTAGCTAGTATAGAGTGAAGAATATTTTTTATGTTTTCTAATTTTTTTTTTCATTTCTTGATCAACTATTCTACCAACTTCTATTGAATTGGAAGATTTTTACTTGGTTTTTTACACATCTAGACCGTGTAGGGTTTAATTCATGGAGGGTCACTGTGGGGTGACAGAGCAAAGGTCCTTATATATATATTTTTTTTAAGCCACCCAATGTGGGTGGGGGGTTTGGCAGAATCCCTACCTGTATATATAACTAAAAGAAAAAAGTACAAGAGAGGAGAACATAAAGCCAAGCCTCCATAAGTGGAAGAAAGACAAGCAAAAGTAAGGTGATGACTCACCACCAAAAGTAGGAAAAAAAATAAAATAATTGAAAACATCAATAAAAACTCAATGACGAATGTGAGGAATCTGTCGAGCGTCCAAGGCAAGGATGCCAGCAATCCCAGAAGGAAGGGATGACGAATTAGAGAATCGCTAATTGAGCTGTTGAGAGCAAGCCCAATTAGCAATGAAGTCTGCAGCCTAATTTGTCTCTCACAGGATGTGGCAGACGCGAGCCAAGAGAGAAGCACACAAAAGCCTAATTCAAGCAAGTAGATAAGCATAAACCTAGCATCCAGTACCCTGAGAAGAAACCCAAGAAACCACTGTAACTGAATATGACTCCACTACCAACTCTGAAACTCCCAAATCTGCAACCAACTCCAACCCAGCACAAACAGCCTGCAACTCTGCATACAGAATAGGCTGATGACCCAGAAACAAGCCAAAAGCCCCGAGTACCCAACCCTGGTGGTTCCAAATAACCCCCTTTGCCGTAGACTGCCCAGGATTGCCTTTAGAACAGCCATCCACGCTGATCTTTAGACAATCCACTACAGGATGAGACCAAGCAACCAAGCGAAGAGGTCGAGGCCGAGGAACCAAGACCCTAAGAGAACCCACAAACTCAACCGACTCATCCCGATGCAACTGACTCGCAATAAACCCAAAAGCAAGCCCAACCAACTGCATATCGGCCATAANAGCTTGGAGATAGCCTTATAGATGGTGTTACAACAAGAGTTTGGTCTAAAGTCATTCATAGATGTGGGATTAGGGACCTTCGAGGCTAGGGTGATGATGGTAGCGTTGAGTTCCTTAAGAAGCAAGCCATGAACAAAGAACTCCTTAAAAACATCAGTGACCTCCTGTCTAATGATAGGTCAGGCCTTCTTAAAGAAATACGGGTTAAAACCGTTAGGTCCAAGAGCTTTATGGTCGCTCATAGAAAATAAGGCCTGATTGATTTCCTCGCTGGAGAACCCCCTAAGCATATACACAGATTGCTGGTTTGAAATTTTCCTTTGGATGATGGAGAGAAGATTTCTGCTTCCCTCACTGTCTAGCATGGAGTAACAAGGCTTTCCCAGGAGAAGCTTAAAGTAATCAATAGTCTCAGTCTTGACCTCCTCTTCACTGTTAGTGAGGGACCCATCCATTCTTTTGAGAGGGGTAATTTTCTTCCAATTTCTTCTATTAATCATAGATCTGAAGAAGAAGTTAGTGTTCTGGTCACCCTCCTTGAGCCACAGTATCCTAAATTTTTGCTTAAAGATCAATTCCTCATCTTTGGCAACCTCCAGATAAGAAGCCAAGAGTCTCTTCTCCTCCTGAATCAGGTTATGATCAGAAGAGTTCCTATCAATATTAATCTGGCAATTCTCAAGAGCAGCTTTAGCAGATTGTACAAGCTCAGTGTTGTGCCCTCTTTCCTTGCAAAAGTTCTTAAAAACACTTTTGAGCCTTTTTAGCTTGGACAAAAGTTTAAATTGGAGAGATCCTTGCACACCAGTCACCCAAGCTTGTGCCACAGTATCTAAGAAGTTCTACTTATCAGCAAGGTGACTGAAGAACTTGAATGGAGCCCTCTTCCGCCTGGCATTGCTACCCATCTTAACAACAGCCGGAGAATGATCAGAGACACCAGATGGGAGAAATTCAGCAGCAGCTTGGTGAAAAATTGTGTTCCAAGCATGATTAACGAGGACCCTATCTAGTTTCCTTTTAATAAACCTTGTTCCTTCTCTCTTGTTTCTCTAGGTAAAGTGGAACCCAGAATATCTCAGGTCCTCAAGTTCAGAGTCCTGTAAACAATCTTCAAACTCCAGCATTGCGTTAGACCATTTCCCTGCACAACCCACAGATTCGCTAGGGTTCCTTATAATGTTAAAATCTCCAAGGATGATCCATGGGTCATTGCTGAAGAGAGAAGAGTGCTATCTGAGGTCAGCCCATAGAGGCCTTCTGTCTACCATTTCATTCATGGCGTACACAAAAGAGACGAAAAAATAGGTGTTGCTCTCAAAATGCTGAACATGACAGTGTATGACTTGGTCAAATTCAACACGTTTAGTAACGTTAATAATCTTTGGATTCCATCCAATCCAGATCCTCCCCAATGTGTGGCATTGGTAGTTGGCACAACATCTCCACTGCCCAAAAACATGCTACATAATAGAGGAGTAATTAACACTCCTAACTCTAGTTTCAATGACACCCACCAAATCCAGATGGGATTCTCTAATAAACTTCCTCACCACCACCTGTTTAGAAGGCTCATTAAGCCCTTCGATATTCCAATAGGCAAAATTAATCATGGAGGAGAACTTTGCTGAGTTTAAAGTGCTCAGCCCCTTTTAATTTAGCCTCAGACTT